GCCAGTACTTGGCTAAGTGCTATCATTTAAGTTTCCCATGATGCTGTGAGGCAGCAATGTTTTTCTCCACTTTACAAAAGAGGAAGCTAAAGACTAAATGGTTTCTCCAAAATCACAGAGCCAGAAAGTGGCAGATTTCCAACCCTAAGACCTACAGCCCTGACAATTAGAATAGAAAATCCAGTTCAGAGTGTGTTCCTAAATCATTATCTCTTTCCTTTTGCATTCTACAAATTTTTCTAACTAAATTAAACAAAGGGAACAAATGCATTTTACAGTATAATCAACTATTTAAATAGTCTCAGAGTTGATAAAAATGACTCCTTGAGTTCAGATTTGAAACGGAATAGTCCCTCTGATTTTCTACGTAACTAAATGTATAATGTGATTGAACCTGTGACACTCAGCATGTATCCCTTCCTTTAGACCAAGCCTTTCTTGACATTAATGGATATAAATGAAGATCAGCATTCTAGGTACCTTTGGCAAGATATTTGCCTCTCTTTAAGAAGCATTTACTACCTTAACTTCTATAATAGGTGCAATGTACCAAAATAAAGATAGTCCCTGGAACAAAGGACTCAAAATGAAGACTAGCTCTGGTCTATTTCAAAGCCGGAGTTTTGAAGTGAACACAAATCTGAGAGATTGTACATGTATCAGTTCAATGTGCAATGTACCATCACTTTAAAGCACATCCAAACACAGTGTTTTCAGAGATTATAAAAATTTTATTAACAAAGAAAATCCACGATACACGTCCCCTTTATAAACAGCCACGTCAAACACAGAGGAAATGCTGTGTTTTCTTTTCACTGTTTCACCCATGCCAGACAAAGGAAATGCAACACCAAAGTGCAGACCAATATTTTTGAAGGGGATAATCATTCGAGATAATAAAGACCTAGAAAATCAGAAGAAACAAATCACGGTATTCATTTCACAGGCTGAACCACTTAGTCTTCATCCAACTGAATGTTTCCACTGTGAGTCAATATACTTGGCCATCAGCAATTTTTAACATTATTCTGAACAGACAGTGTACATCTAAAAACATGATAGTTATTTGAGTATAGAACTGAGAGCCAACGTGATTTATAGAAATTTATGGTTACGTAGCAATAGTCCAGAGATAATCCCTACAAAACGTCAAGGTATACTTCATGATAGGATAGGATCTGTTTTGCAGGACAACTTTTAAGTTCCTTTCTAATTATCTTTAATTACTGCTCACTGGTGTCCCTCAGAATTTCCTTTGTATACCCTCTACCCCACCCTTTACTGAAAACCTATAAATATATTCCAGATATACTGCATGCAAGAGGGGAAGTATAAGAATAATGAACGATTCTGGTGCCCTGCACATGAACAGAGAACACACATAGAATGGGTCCTGGCTGTCAGAACAACACATTGACGTGTCAGCTGGAAACCCCTCAAGAGAGATCATATAGACTTTTAATCCAAAGAAGGAGAAAAGTTAGGTCTGTCACTTGACTACAGTTTCTAGGCCTGGTGTAGCTATATTTTTAGGCCTGGCTCCAAGGAGCTGCCTACACAAATTTGGATGGAGCGAGGGAGGCACAGATGGTGATCACGTGAAGGCACAGACCGACTGAGTGGGCTCGGTTACAAAGTCTGTACATTTAGGCTGCTGTATTCCTCCTATTTCAAGTACTGCCAAGTCCAGGCTGTTTCCCCTCTTTCCAAAGTCTCGATTCATTTCATTCTCCTGAAGGAGGTGGAAGAGGAGGATTGCGCAGATCTTACTGTTTTATGGTTTAGAGGAGACAGTCACCATCTTGGCTTCTTGTCAGATTTTAAATGTAACATTTTGCTAAGTGTAAAGCTGTGTTCCTTTCCTGTTGCCGTTATCGTAACTTCAATATTTGCAAAACATAAACTCAAAATACTTCAAATCAAGTCCAAGGCAGTTTCTTATTCATGCAACACGGTTCTTATATATATCAATACCCAGTGATTTCCCAGAACAGAAATCTTTTCTTTGCTTCTTTCTTTCCTTTCCTTTTCTTTTCTTTTCTTTTCTTTTCTTTCTTTCTTTCTTTTTTTTTAGTGTGTGTATTTCTTTTTTCACTTACAATGTTTCCTTTCTTTGGGATTTTAAGAATGATTCAATTACACGATAACAAAATCCACATCATATATATGTATATATATATATACACACATATATGTGTGTGTGTATATATGTGTGTGTATGTGTGTGTGTATATATATATATATATATATATATTCTGATTATTATTAAGCTTATTACCATGTCAGTTCTTACTGGTTGTATTATTTAGAAAAAGTAAGCACATCAGCTAAGGTATTCTACAATTTGAAATACCCTGTGAATGACTTGTAAAGCATAGAACACCTTAGTGATGTGTAGAATTCTAATTTTCAAATATAAAAATCTGTAGTGTTTACTATAAAACATTGTTAAAGGTATTCAGGGTGTGCTTCCAGTGGTGTGGGATTCATAGTAATTAGCATTAACGTACTAATTTCTCACTCTTTAAAGAACAGCCTACAACATTTCAGATTCTCAGTCATTTTCTCCTTTATGTAGAAAACTGTCAAAATCAAAATGGATTCAATTATTGAGATATATTTTTAAACAGGGCACAAAGTATTCTTCAGGTCATCATCAGGACTCTTGTTGTTCTGTTGATGTAATTTTTGTGTGTGATCAAACATTGCTCCACAGTCTTGTCCTCTAAGCCCTGCAAGGTGCCTTCTTGGCCTGGGCTAGTGTGTAGGAAGGTCATTTTTAAAAAGCAAGTCGATATATAAAAAGGTTATAACATCTGCTAATAAGGTGTTATATCTGTAGGACATGACATTTACAATCCTCCAACTAACTGACTTAATGTTTTCCTTTGTATTTGGGTATTTACATTGTGTGAAAATCAACGCTATTATCACCATCAGTGAAATTATTCATTTGTCTTCTAAGGCAAACAAGAAAATGTTTTTCTTTTAGGGTAGAATTTCATAATTAGTAAAGTATATAAGCAATGTGGAGAGGCAAATTGAACTGAATTATTATCTTGAACTTCTACCTTCAACAGAGTACACTAAGAGAAAAAGTTCTTGGTAACATTCATGCTGCATGAATTTGCATTTTGAGCTTCTTCCTTAAAACACTGATATTGTTCCAAATTTAATAATAGCAATAATAAGAGAGAAAAGTTTCCCACCATAGGGAACTTGTGCTTTTTTTAATGTCAATTTCTTAAAAACAAAACAGAACAAAAACTACCCTCCAAGTCAATGTGCCAATGCTCAAATAAGGAATTTCAAAACGGTTTCAGTCTCTAGGTTGACTGTGCATACAAATCAATAATAGGGTTGCATATCAAATGCAGTTTCATGAATGAAACACATGGGCATTACCCAATCTTCCTCAAAAGTACTTAGCTGCCAAGAGAGATACTTCACAACATACCACAAATGTGCTATTTGTATAACCATTCCGGTTACAAATGCTCTTGTTTTTACTTAAATGAGTATATTTAACCTGGGCTATTAATAAAAAAAAAAATTCTTTTCGCCCTTGTAAAGCTTGGATTTCAGAAGAAACTATCTTTAAGCCTCTTCTCTTGTGCGAGTCATATCTCTTAATACCAACTGTGCTACATAAGTTCAGCCAGGGCTCATTAAATAGACTTCTGAGCATAATTATAATTAACAATTAGCTAGAAATTGGTTCTCATGATTTGTTTTAGTGATAGAATAGAAGCATAATGTAATTATTTAAAACCTTCTACATCATTAAGACTACAACTACTACCAACTTTCAATTATTGAGACGCAATCATCCGAAGCATTTAGTAAGTGATCTACTTACAGGGCCCACCTGAGGGGGGTTGAGGGGGAAAGGCTGCCCCCCAGCCCAGGTGTTCATAATTATTTAGCCTTTTGCAAAGTCTCTTCCTTTTCTATTCTGCTCCTTTAGCTTGTTTCACGCCTTGAAGACATCTCTACCATGGAAAATAGAGAGTCAACCTAGCCTTTCAGCTCTTTCCCCACACCCTGCCTTTCTCCAAGGCATAGTGAGGATGTCCTGGTGGGAGGTAGGAGGGCCTGGAAAAGACTACACAATTTAGCACGTGGGCCTGAAATAGCAATTCACACCATCAAACTAGGCTAACAGGAAAGAAGATTATAAAAGTACTGGATAAAATGAGTATTAGGAGTAAGCTTCAGGCTGTAAAGATAAATCTATGCTATCCTTTCCCCATTCAGTGTCCTTTTAATATCCCAAAGTCAATTTGGATCTTATTTTTCCCATAAGAATCTGTAAAAAATACTATAGAAATTGGAAGAAATGCTCTTTCATTTTCTGAAAAATATAAAAATATTCATTTAGAACAGTAAATATTATTGTCAAAGTTTTTTTCTTTCTTCATTTTTCCCCT